AGGTAAATCAGGAAAATTAACAAGGGTGCCCAAACTTTTTCATATGACTGTATCATGATTCCAGATCCAAGCATGGTTTAGGTCTGTTTTTTTTTAATAATTGTAGTGGGTGCTGAGGAGGAATCAGGCCTTCCTGTTGTTAGGGGGTGGGACTTTGATGATGTCATATGACCACATGATATGGTCGGACATGCAACAGGGATGACTCATACCAAGTTTTGTGTATTTTAGTCTTTCTATGTGAAATTGTAATGGATGGAYRGATGGACAGACTGATGGACTAACATAAATCATTTCTAAATTCCCATGTCTCGGCGACGGGGGAAAAAATGACTGACATGATCAGCTTTCCAGATACTGAGATAAAAATTGTTCTGGTGGTAACAGAAWCTAATCTCCAGTTCATACAGGCCTAACTGATCATACAAGATCTGAACTGAAAGTTTTGCTTTTAACAATTTGAATCAATTTTAGTTTAGTTTTGGTTTTGATTTTATTAAAAAATTAGCAGTTTTTCTCCTATAGAATGAACCACTGGTATAAATGAACTTACATATGCAACACTTTCTAACATTAGCCCTTAACAAACCCAGGAGAGTTCTGATTCAGTTAAAAAAGAGTAACTAGGTCTAATTTTCTTCTTATTTTTAGTGGAAATCTTCAGTTCTGACAAACAAGTTAAGCTGGGATGGAAATCAGAACCACCTGGAGAGGTAAGTTTGACTGTTTGATAATATGCTCTGATTATTTGACAAGGTGGAGAGGAGACTTAACATAGGCATAGGTTGTACTGGAAGGAACATAGGGATGACCCCCTCAGAAACCCSTCCTGACCAAGAAGCTCTGGGATCTGCATGTTCTGCAGGACCTCCTCCTGAGTAGAAAATACACGGTACAGATTAATCTGCTTCTAAGCAGCAGGCAGCATCTGTAGACCTTTATGGATTGAGTGGTTTAATTGTTGTAATGGGATGTGAACATCTGAGATGCTTTGAAAACGTGAGTTGCATTCATGCACAAAATGACCATACTGTCTGTTGTTCTACTGCCTCTGGTCTTTCGTAAATCACCAATGGAGACAGCCACGTCTCACACAGTGGTGAGTTTTCAGAAATGAGGTAAGCATCACAGAACCAAYGAGGTGTGGAGCAGAACTCAGCTGGGTTGATGTGAACCCCAACATATTAAACGTGTGACGGATGTTTCCCTCTTCGTTTTCATAACATGATGAATTAACTCTGTGTAGTGATTTCCTTTGTGCGTAATTTTTTAAGCTAAATAAATATTGCTATGCATAATCATCAGTTTTCCCTCAGTAATAAATCTGTTTGTTGCCATTYAATCCTGCAACCCACTAGTGGCACAGACCAGATGTCATCAAATTATTTAGCWGCTTCTCTAGCTTATCTTTTCACAAATTTACCTTTTTGGTTTGTTTTATTACTTTGCTTTGCGGCACAAATACGGACCAGAGGTGGCTGGCTTTAACCAGCTTTAACCCTCCTTGCTGCCTTGGTCCATTCAAAAATCRCACCGAAGCAGCCAGAGGGAGTCCAAGTCCCAGCTTATTGTATCCTCCACCCAGGRGTGTAGCACCAAATTCTGGGCCCTGTACACTCTTGATGTCAGTGGGCCTCTATCCATGCCAGTGCATGAGGTGCATAAGTAAAAAAAAGGGGGGAGGGGGTATTCTTTTAAATAAAGAAGCATAAATAGGGTTTTAAGCTACAATCAGATCAGATTATATTGATGAGTGGTTCTTTCATTCACCAGATGAATTGATGCATTTGGCCTACCTGTGTTCAAATACCTAAAAGAATTTGCTACATCTGGTTTGTGTACTAACGTTGTGATCCGCGACACTATAGCAAAATTTGATTTAAAAACATTTATTCTTGAACTAAACATTTGGTACATGACATGCTCAGTTTAACTGTCTGCACACATCATAAAATGAACACTAAATGTTTCTTTTGTGATGCAATAATAGTCAAACAATATTAACTGAGATAATGTTCACCTTTATTAAACTATGTAGTGCATCGGTCCTTTAAACTCACTAAGAATACAGTTTGACAATCAGCCATAGTTTCATACAACAGAGACACACAGGTAGAGCAGGTGTGTTTCTCCTCTTTAACAGGAGCATCAGAAAACTTGTAATGTGTGTAAAGGACACACTGGAGGGGGGTCTGGGGG